TGTGTACCCTGGATCTGCAGCTGGTCCAGGTCCAGGTACTTGCTGGGTCTCGGGTTGAAGCCGAGCGCCGCCTCCCTCTCCTTCTCCTGCCGCCGCTGCTGCTCCTCCTCCCTCGCTCTCCTCAGCACCTCCTCCTGCAGCTCGTCCAGCTCACTGCGGCCTGCAGAGGGCGCTGCAACAACACCATCAGCACTAATATATAAAACAAGTTTGCACGCCGGAGTAAAGTCGGCCTGTTGACATGTTGACAGAGCTGAGAGCTCAACGTCTGCATGAGCAAGAACACGAAGACGTTCGTACCGAGGCTCCCCCTGTTGGACGAGCTGAGCTCCTGCAGCAAAGCGCCGCTGCTCTTCGAGCGGGCGTTCCTCCACGAGGGTCCTGAGGAGGAAGAGGACGACAAAGCCTTCTTCACCACACACTCCCTGAAGAGGAGAAACAGAGACACGTTTAGCGTCAGGAGCTGAAGTTTCATATAACAGAGCCAATCCTGAGTTTAGACTCCACTGAACACTCATATTCTGTCATACAGGTTCAGGGGCAGGGTCATTCTTTAATGACTTTACAAGAACGAACTCTCAAACCACCAAAGGAGTCACTTAGCATGACAGGAAAGTTTAACTGCTGCAGCAGAACGGGGTCGTAATCAGCTCTGCTCCTAATCTGACAAACCCGCTGCAGAAACACAGCGACGGCGATCCTGCGTGTTTTCTTTTGTGTATTATTTGTTTTTACAGGATCTGATTGGTGCAAATGGTTTATTTTTGCCAATTGTTTGAGTAAACAGGGCACATGGGCAGTTCAAGGACCACTGAAAAGGTGGAAATTTCCTGATTATGCCACTTTTTACAGCTTTGTTTATACAGATGAGAAAATGTGCATTTTTAAATCTGCTGAAGGATTTTGATTTATTTTATATTTACATTATTTTTATTGCATTGTTTTCTTTTTATTTAATGGAGTTCTTTTATTATTGTACCTTTTATTTCACTTTGTGCTTTTATTATCTCATCATATGTTGTTTTTTACGTTACTGTGTTCGCGTACACGCCATCCCACGTTTGAATTTACTCCCTTGTCCTGTCTTTATTAAATATAATTATTTTACTTAAACAGTGACTTCACGTAAGGTGCGATACGATCTGCCGACTGGAGTATTGATCGATTGATCGATTGATGACGACCTTCTGGAGCTCACCTGTCTCCCGGGTTCAGGTCCAGGCTGACCGGGCTGCTGCTGTTCCTCTCGCTGCTCTCGTAGCCGCTCTCCATCCTCTGGATCAGCCTGGGTGGAGCAGCAGGAGGAACAGCGGGAGACAGCACGGCTCCTCCCGCTCCTTCCTTCTCACCTCCCGGTCCAGCTCCACCTCCTCTGTGGCTGCTGGAGAAGGAGGCGGGGAGAGTCCTGGAGGAGCCCGTCCGGACAGGCGTCACCTCCTCCAGGGCCGAGGAGGCGTCCTGAGCTCCACAGTCGTCGAGCAGCGGCGCTCCGAGGGGGCTGTACCCCGCTTGCCTCCGCCTCTCGCGGTTAAAGATGCTGTCGATGTTGAGCGCCTCCCTCCGGGGCCTCCAAGCCGGCCGGTACCTCCCTGTTCCCCCGGAGGAGCTGGACTTTGACTCGCTGCTGGTGCTGTCGGCCTCCCAGTCCTGAGCTTTCCCAGCGGAGGAGGAGGAGGAAGGAGCGGCGCTGCTGGCAGGGAGGTGGTGGTGATGGCTGCTGTTCGAGGAGGGGGCGATTTCAGAGGAGAAGCCGGCGGCCGGCAGAGACGTGGAGGAGGAGGAGGAGAGGGGTCGGCTGTGGATGATGTTGCTCATGGTCTCCTTGAAGTCTCGCAGGCGGCTGGTCGATGATGAGAAGGAAGACGAAGGTTTGGGGAGGTGACGAGGAACCTGCTGCTCCTTTAACGTCTCGCCTGGAGGAGGAGAAAAGCAGGAGTAAGAAAAGACGAGGAGGAGAAGGAGTAACCTTACCCCAGAGGAGAGTGAACGAAGGAGGTGGATGAATGACTGGATGGGAAATAAAAACACGGCTTCACCTTCAGAATCAGCTGATCTACGCCCTGAGACTTTGCTCCACCCACATACACTACACCTACACAGCTGGTGCTGAATTATAAGAGGTCACAAAAATGCCACTAGATGGCGCTATGGCCCAGAAATCATCCTGCTGTGAAACTCGAGTGTTTGTCGCCAGGCTGAGCGTGGGCTCGTGATACTTTTAGACTCATGTCAGGCAGTTCACAGAGCAAGTCTTTGGCCTAAGCCCCGCCTACCCTCACTGTGGTAACCAGCCGACGACGCTTCGTTCTCAGGTTTAGACCGCCGGTGGCGGCTAGCGCTCCGCCTCCTATCCCCGGCCACGCCTCCTTTCCTCGGAGGCTGATGCTGCTCACCGTCCGTCGCGTGGCCTTAGCAACAAGAAGCAGGGCAACACATGTTCACAGCGTGACCGCCATGATAGGAAAAAGAAGCAGAATGCATGAATGCGATTGGCTGCATAGATGGGTCACATGACTGAGGCGGAGCAATGAATGAATGTAACTGCAACACGTTCACGTTCATTAAATCCTGTTTCATCGCACCGAGCGTCCAAAGCACAAAGATGGAGAACGTTCGTTTATTCTGGAAGAAAATACGAAACATTTCCTGCTCACGTTGGCTGTTTGACGAAAATATGGTTTAAGCTCAAGATTAAATTAAAGCCCAGTTTATGGTAGTGCTGGTTACCACAGGAACACCAGCTCCTTTTTAAAAACTAAAGCTTCAAACTGAACACAGTTAAGAAAACTGGCTGTTGATGTGGGCATCTCTGCTAGGAAGACACCCACGCCTTCCATCTTTGAGCTTAGGACCGCTGGTGGACTCACATGCTGGCAGACACTAAAAAGGGTTCCAGTGTCTCCGGTTCCCCCCTCTGACCCACCTACGGTATCCAGGCTGCAGAGCGAGGCGTGCGGGGCTCCGTCTGGGCGGTCGATGCAGATGACGGTTCCCTGGGAGTCGGAGGAGTAGCGACTGGCCAGGGACTCATGGTGCGAGTGGGAGGGCTGTCGGTACGAGTAGCTCTCCGTCGACGAATCGGTGCGAGTGTCGCTGGAGATCGACGGCTCGCGGCCTGGGCGAGTGGGAGGCGGAGGATGGAGGGAGGAGGTCAGTGGAGATGGACTCACACAAACACAGCACAACAAAAGCACTCATCACATCAGACACGCCTAAACATTAAGAACTACTTCTACTGCTCCTCCAGCTGCCGCCTGCCAGTAAAAGTGTTATTGGAGCGACTGAGGCTGGTTTAGTTACCTGAGTGTTTGCTGCTGTGCTACTACTACGACTCCTAGCTGTGTTGTAGTTACCCGAGTCTTCGCTGTCGTAACAGGCCTTGTTGAGGTGGTGGAGGTCGAGGCGCGAGGGCAGGTCCTGCGCAGACACCGGCGTCCCCCGCGGGTCGGCGTACAGCAGCAGCAGCGGCTGGTAGTGGCCTTTAATGCAGCGCGAAACCACGTCGATCCACTTGGGCCCGATCTGCAGGACAGCGACGGAAACCAGCAAGACATCAGTGAGTCACAAACCTGCACACACACACACACAC